TAGGGAAACATATGCTTAAGCTGGTCTTTTGCATTGCTAATAATGTGACACACGTACCTCCCATTCTTCATTAACTCGTGTCTCCATTTTTACACCGTGTGTCTGTTTTTCTAGTTATGTAGCTTGTAATTGCAAAAATATTTTACTGTGTGTCCATTTCTTTTGCATTTTTGCCAACTAGCCTTTATTTTGTCTGGTTAAAGGGACTTCAGGGCAGAGGGAGGGGATTACAGGAAGAATTCATGTCACACTGATGTCGTCTTTCAGAACCTAGTAGTTCAACTTCGTGAGTTAATTGGAAAAAAACTTAAGTGTTTTTGTTGAGGATAATAACAAAAATGCAGAACTAAAGTAAAAAGCAGTCCCTCTATAAAGTTGCTCTATTTTCTGTTGACTATATGGATGGACACCATCTTTCCAAAAGGCTACTTTCTCTCCCTCCAAAAATGGTGCAATTTGATGGAAATGAAATTTGCCAAGGTGTCCATCCATTGAAGCAAAATTGTCCCCAAAACACATCAGCCTATCAATAAAACAAGTGATGTAGACTGGACTTTCAGTGGGAAGTTACCTTTAGAGACCTAAAAATGCCGTGGCAGTATTATGGCCTGCTGCTGCTGCTGCTGTCAGTGAGGCTATCTGCTCACATGCTTGTAACATAACCCTCAGCAGGCTTTTCTACCCTGTCCTGGTGGTCACTCTGTAGCTTCATGTGCCTAACTTGTTCCCATGGTTGCTATATCCCTGATTGATGGGGAAAGTATACAGGCAGTTGCATTACATGGCATATAATGGGAAGCATTAGTCCTCTCTACTTTGTGTGTTGGGGTCATATTTTGGCACATGAAACCTGTGATACACTATAATGATGTGAAGGGCAGTCAGCAGGTCAGGATGTTGGTGTGTGTGCTCTCTGGCTTAGCACAGGGAGCATCATGACCATTTTTATCTTTAAATCTATACTGCAATACAGTCCGAGTCAAAAAATAACTACAGCTATGACATTTGATATATTCCAAAGAAACTCACAACCAGTTGCCTTTGGAACACTAACAGCAGCAGAGGAACTTCTTGGAATTCTTTGAAAAGGATTCCCAGGAATGAAATGGAAATAGAATTTTATTTTATTTGTTCTTACTTAAGTGGTAATAAATGAGAGAGGTGCAATGAAGACATCTTAGCAGATGTGCCTAAACCTGAGATTGTTACATGGCTGTATGAAGTGCCCTGTTACATTCTTGGTTCTCACTGTCCATTAGGCCTGGCTGTTTCCCTGGGCATTTCTCAGATATCCTCGGAATAAATAACTTTCTTATCCTTGGATTTTGTAAGTACAGAAATTGACTCCAAGATTTCAAAAGCCACTAGCCATTAAATCCCACCATAAGACAAAGGATTAATTTGGTTTGCGTGCATATTGAATATATGTGGAGCTACTGGTATATACATGTGTTTGTACAGTGTGAAACAGACTTTAAAATAAAACCTTTCTTCTCTGAAGCCATGAACAGCAAATTATGTCTATAGCAATTGTGACCTCACAAAAATTTATTTTCTTACTCTGTAAAATTTGGAGACCACAAGACAAAATAATCTTAATAATATAATCGGATCTTTTTCTATGAAAAAGTGAAGAGCTGAATTAATTATTTGTTTAAAAATTTCCAGTATGTCACATAGCCTTAAGTGACTTATTCAGCCAAATCTTGATGAAAACAGATGAATTTCTAATGATTTTGCCTGTTGTGTATGTTCCAAATATACCCACTACCAAAGTTTGTCTTTCTATATGTGGGCAAGACTCGGGCTGTGTCATCAGTGTAAGTGATGCCTGCATGTGTCTGAGCTGGATTTGCAACACACAGAGGTCAAGTGAGCAACGATCAAGTGAATGATCATTGGTAGACAATCAGAAAATGGATTGCCTGCAGGGGTAATACATTCTTGTTCAATGATAACCACCTATCGTTCCAGAGGAAAAAAGCACACAGGACTTGCATTAGCAGTCCTGCTGCCTAGGCTTGGGAGGCTTGCTCTGGAGTACCCTCTGCTGTCAGTTTAAGAGACCCCCCCAGCTCAATTCTCATGACTGTCACATAACCCTTTTTGTAGATCCCAGTATGTCTTGTAGAGAACTTAAATATTTCTTAGCTTGCACACTATACTGTGGTGGGAATTTACTAAGTTGATCTAGTAATTTTAGCAAACACCATCTACTAAGAGAATTGGCTTCACAACAGACCAGGATGGAGAGAGATGCCTTGCTTCTATATATTCACATGACAGTAGTGAAAGACATAACTTTGAAAATGGAGATAGCTATGCCCTAGCAACTTCTTAACAGTTTAATAATGTGCAAAATGCTGCACAAAGTTAATAGCCGATTTGAAAATAAGTAGTGAGTATAAGCTTTAGGTTTTAAATAATGTTGGCATTGTAATTCTGGTCATTTAGAAGCATAATGAACTTAAAGGTTTTTTAATGTATCAAAGACTTTCAATCACAATACATGGTTACACATAAAATTTGTCCCTATCTTGATATGCCCAGACAACTCCCATTAATATTAAATGCAGATTACAGAGGAAAGAAGATTCATTGTTCTCATACTTTCTGCTGAGACAATCTGCCAAATCAAGTTAACATTGAAGGGAAGTTGGGACAAAACAAAATCAAAATGGGGATTGTGTTGTTTGAAATATATTGGATTTTCCAAGTACTGTGACTGCAACTGAATTTTTAGTAGATGTGTGTCCAAATAATAATCCTGATGCTGAAGCTCTAAAGTCCAGACTGAACAATACAGAGCTAATTTTGACAAAAATGCTTTATATTAAAGATTGTACATATAGTAGTTTAAATGACTGAAAACAACTGGGTGCATGTTTATTAATTACCGTGCAGAAAATCTTGCCATTTGGTATGCTCATACTAGTGCTAGAGCACTGAACCTAACTTGGTATCTACAGTTTTTTAGCCCACAAGACTTCACTTTGATATGATTGAACTGTAATATATTTTTAAAGAAAACCTATCAAGTATGCCTAGCTTCTTAGCTGTAGTAAAAAAAAAAAAAAGTGTTTTGTTGTGAAAATATATCTGTTTTCCAAAGATGACTGATGTTCATCATTCTACCCTTTACTACCATTTATTTTACTTCACATACCTGTAGGTTAATGTAATAAAGTTTCTAATGGAAGATGGGAAATGCTTTGAATTTTTTTCCTTTGTTTTTCATTTGCTTAGCATGGATCTTGAAATAGCATAGGAAATAGAAGAATTGTAATCCCTGCCCATGCTGGACCACCAAGTAATGCATATTATTTTCCCTTTTACACAAAGCAAGTAGTTCATTACATGCTTTGCGGAAAATCAAGGCTGATTTTGAACTGCTGAACTTCTGTGATTAGTGTCTGTTTCAGCAAGAATTAATTCTGTAAACAGGGTGATTCTTTCAGTCTTGTTTCTTAAATGCTTAAAGGTTTCACCTTGAGAAGGATGGGGAGCTGGGTTGCCAAAAGCAAGGCATTTCTCCTTTAGACTAGGATAATACCCTTGCATTAAGTGTTACAAAACCAGTAACCAAAGAACGAGCAGAGCACAAAAGAAGGTAACATACTGTAATTTGTGTTTTGCAACTCTGACCCCCTAACACACTGGCTACAGATAAATGGTGTGGGAAGTCTTCCTTTACTATCACAGTTTGATCAAGGATGAGAAATTTGACATTAGGAACCAATAATACAATCACAGAAACATAGAATGGTTTGGATGGGAAGGAGAGACAGACAGGAGAAAAAACCACCAGACTTAGCCAAGTGCTGCCTGTGACCCCCCAA